GAGAATTAAGCCAACAGCGTCGAGAGAGAGAGAGAGAGAGAGAGAGAGAGACTGTGACTCTAAAACACATAAGACACACTGCAAAGCTAAACAGAAGCGATGAAACGAGGGCGTTGCACGGGTGAAAGAGCGCTCAACGTATACCGGATTTTCCCTACTTCACCAACTTCCGGTTGCTCGCGTGCCGCAATTCTATCGCCCACATCTGGATCTTTCCTTCTGCCGATCTTGGCCGGGTAACCCAATTTGCACAATACCGGAGAGTCTTAATCGCCGTGTGATTAAATGCGCCCGCCAATTTGTTAAATTCGACTCAGTCAATCGATATCCGCACCGACTTGTTCTCAGTCTCCTCTTCGATGCGTGAAGACATCTCACGAGACGTCAAGTAAAAGCAACGTTGATGATAAAATACGAATTTTATTTTGACAAAAGTTTTCCCCGCGTCCGAAAACTATCATCCGTCTCACGGACACAGATCTCGACGCGACCTTAACTTGCCTTCGACGATCGTTAAAAGGTCGAGGTGAATTCTTCGGGGGGATCACGCGACGACAAGCTGCGGGGGTCTATCGAGACCAAGGGGGGGGCGTTCCTTGGAAGGAACCCCACGGCACCGGGAAGGTCTTCCGTTAGTTCATCGTCTTCCGGTGACTTCCGGTAGCCTCTAACGAGGGACAATGCTCTCCTGGTGCACGCGGCGCACAACAATCGCGTCTCAAGTTCCTCCAGGCGGGAGGGCGTTGCTTGGCAATCTCGCTATCCTCGTCTGCCGGCTTCCCATTCTTCTTTTTTTCTCTTGACTACTTACTCCACGTAACGTGCTCCTCAATGACACATTAGAAGCCGGCACTTCGAAAGGCGACGCGCGTCGTGTGTGTTGTACACCAAGAGAAGGAGAGAGAGAGAGAGAGAACAACACGATTCTCTCGACTCGTACACAAATTATAGACTCCCGAGTCGACCGTTGACGCGGCTCGTCGACTCGTAGATACGCCATTCGCTATTTCGGCCACTCGGGATATGCGCTCACGGCTGTGTACTCGTGCTTGTTGTTCGCCGTGCGCGCAATGGCATTCACGGACACGCACGTCTCTCTACGAATCTCGATCCTTTTCAGCGGATCGCGCGTCTGCGGCTCTCCTCTCTCCCTCTCTCTCTCTCTCTCTCTCTCATTCTCTTCGCTCGCTGTCTTTGTGGGGAGACGCGCCAATTGCTCCGGGCTAACATCGAGTCGACTACTACGCGAGCTTACACACTCGGGCCACTCGAGCGCGAGACAATTGTTTAGTCGCCTCGAGGATTGACTTCTTTTCTCTCATTCTGCTGCTTCGCTGAGTGGCATGTTGGCTGCTCTCTCCTTATTTCCTTTTTCTTTTCTCTTCTTTTCCTTTCCCGGTCAGCTTCTTCCCCCGACCGTTAACGGTCGACAGTGAGACGTCGAGCGGTCTCTCTTTCTCTCTCTCTTGGTGTCGACAGATTCCCAATCGAACACCGGGGGATCGCATAATGAGATATTGTACACTTCAAGTGTTATGCGAAAGTAAAGAATATATTGAGAGCTTCTTTTTTTCTCAACTCTCTCATACGAGAATCGACCATTCTAATAAAAACATTGAGAAAAAAATTGTTTTAAAAAATTAAAACACAAAACTTTAAAAAGTAAATTAATTTAAGAAATAAATTAATATATAGTCGGCAATGACAATGTTTTATTAAAACACACGGGCGCGTTGCGAGGGAAAAAAAAAACGTCTCTATCTGTCGCTCCGCATATCCTTTGACAGCGGCAGTCGACGACACGCCCGCAAAATTGCTTCTCCAGCGGTGGAGCTCGGCTGCGGGAGAGACAATTTTTCGGGGGCTGCGAAAAATATTAATAACTCCGATGTTGCAGAGTAAAGGACGAAGGGCTTTCCGGAGTAAGGGATGGCATGGTCGGGGGTCGTGAGCGGGGTGGCTGAGAGCGGGGAAGAGGAGGAGGAGAGGAGGAGGAGATGGAAGAGGCGGTAGACCGGGGGTTAGCGACGAGGGGGTGGCAAGTGTTTCTGTCAGTTTAATAGCTTCGCGCCTACCTACCTCCTCATCCCTCCCCCTCTTTACTCCCACGAACTCACCCTACACGAGCACACTTTGCCGCCGACATTACAGCATCGTCACTCCACGTGTCAGAAGTTGCGCCAGACGTAGGAGGTCTGCTTAGATCTGATAACCCTTTGATATTCCCGTTATTTATTGCCCCCCCTTTCGTAGCTGGCTCGTCACACGCGTGAGAATCGATCGGGCGCGATTCTCAGACAACACACAACTTCTGTGTGTCACGTGAAATCACAACACAAAGTTATTATTTATTAAAAAATTACACGAGAAGATTTTTGCCACGCGCAAGATGACAATAGTATTAAAGTAATAAGAACAAGGAAGTAGTAATTTTTTTGTTTTTTTCATAATCGTGAAATTAAGCGGCACAGAAGGGGAGAAATGTGTGCTATATCTAATAAATATTTAATTATATTACTAAAGCTAGTGTAGTTACATTTAATTTAGTGTAATAATATATAAATGTTTTAATTACACAAATATTTACAAAATTTCTAAATAGTATGTACGCACAACGTAGAATGTATTACAAACAAACGTTATGCAAACGTATGAACATTACGTAAATTGTTTTCATAAATAATTGCCGGATTTTAATGATTTACTTCTATTTATTCTCTATCTCAATTTATTATCTTATTTGCGTGTGCCGTCATCGTCGCGTATCGTTTAATTTCTTTGATCTCAATATTTCGCGAGTTTCATTTTTCTCCGAGATTTCACGAACACGGCAAACTTTGTTTAAGCAATTTTTTTGTCACACGTCATATCTTCGTGTGTTTTTCTATTAAAAAAAAAAACAAAAAAACAAATTTCCTCTCGAAACGTTTTGAAAACGTTTCGCGTAGGATCTCTGGTTGTACTACAGAGATATTTCGATTTTGTCACGGGATATCTCGGTCTGCGCGAAGGTCCAAGTGATATCAGCATTCGAGACATTTTTATGCCGGTGTAAATCAAACCCCTCCAGATATTGCGCGAAGGACGAGAGTTGGCGCTGAATGAACGAGAAGGGTAACGGGGGGGACATTGCCGGCCATAAAGAATGATATAACTGCACGCGACATATGTCTTCCTGGTTGCGAAAAACCAGTCATATCGTCGTTGTTACCGCCTCGTGTTTCTCGTGCGCGCGCGCGCGCGCTTTTGCCAGCCGGTAGAAATGAAGATTTGTTTCGGCGTCTTTTCGACGTCTCCGTCTCATATATTCCGCTCGCGCGGCTTTTATCCCGCGGCTTTCGTCCCGATTTTACGACGCTCGCGCGCGCCAGATTTAAATCATCGTCTCCGCACGAAATAAAACGCCGATGAAAACGCGAACGAATAATTCTTTATTATTTTCGCGCTTTGTGCGAAGAAAGAGACGCGAGAAAAAAAGATAAAAACTCGAACGTCCCCTAATAACGTGCAGATAATAATTTTCGAATGAATCGAGCGTTCACAAATTTTTTTTTAATTAACTGACACAATTTTTGTGCTTTTTCTCCTCTGAATAGCTAATTTTAAACCGATATTTTTTAGGAATAAGAATGTTAAGATTTTTTGTCAAGATAACAGATGAAAGAAACCTTTAACGTTCGGAAGAAAAATTTGAAGAAAAAACTGGACGCGTACGAAGGTAATCGTAGAAGTTTTCTGTTTTGTTACCAACCGCGGAAAAAACGATTTTCGAGAAAGTCTCAAATCTCTCAATTTTTCTTTTTCTAACAAGAACGTATCCATATAGGAGGATATTTTTTCCGTCAGACGCGCTACAATATACGCGGGATTGACGTTTTTCTGATACTCTACTCCTCCGATTGACTTTGAAGTCGATTCGTTGGACAAATCACGGCGAATTGTGGAGTGCGGTTGGAAGAAAAAAAAATCCGAGACTCGCTCGGGAGGTTTGACAGCTACTTTTCGCGGTGAAAAAGTGGTCACCCCTGTCCAATAAGAACTTCGATGGCTGTCCTGCTGACCTCGTCTCCGCGTGGGGTCTTTTCTCCCTCTCATCGCACAACGTTTTTCGGCAACTGCTTTTTTTGCGATAAAAAAAAAAAAAAAAAAAAAGACAACATCTCGCTGCGTTAGCGTTTCGCTAACCAAAGTCAAGATTTTCACTGTTGCTCGCGCGTGAATTCACCGACGAAAAGAAACGTATAACGTGTCGATAAAGAAGTACAATAAAGGCCAACGATACGCTTCGGTGACCGTTTAGAAACATTTGTATGCACAGAAAGAGAGATAAGGAAACCGTAAGAATGAATTGTCACAGTGAAATAAAAACAGCTGTTATTTTTTTTCCTTTTGTTCGAAAATTGTTTACAGACTAATTATAATTATTCTCTGAGTTTGTTAAACCTAGAGTTTTTTATTTTAAATATTAAATAAAAATTAAGAAAGATTTTAAATATTTTGTATATTAAATATAAAAAAAGATACTCTCATCGGCATAAAAAAAATAAAAAATGTTAAGTGTCAACTTCCCTTTAAACATCGCATTTCATTTCTTGCGCTCGGTCTGAGAGAACTACCGCTGGCGCAACCCCCGGAGTCTTGAAAAAAAGAGAATTCCGTGCTCTCTCGTCTTTTTAGATTCAGCTACCGCGAAGTCTCCTCCGTTATCTCGCGGTGTCGCTACTCCCTCTCCCGTGACTCCCTTCCTCGCCGTTCTCTCAGACAGTCGCATTACGCTCCACCGCCAAAGCGCCGCGTCCCTCTCGCTCGCACTCCCGAGGGATGCTGTGCGGCCGCCTTGGTGGGGATCGCGATGCGATAGGGGTGGCTCCGCCCGTGAGCCAACCAGAGGTCCCGCTGAAAGCGACCCGCCACACCCCGTGAATGTCTCCGGGATCCCCGAGAGAAACCCGTGCCATCCTCTTCTCTAACTAATTCTCTAGTCCGTCGTGGGCCAGCTGTCACAGAGGACCGTGTCAGTCTCTTCCCGTTATCCGTCTATTCCCACAGACCAGACCTAAAGGTCGTCTAAAACGGCCCCGCGTCATCATTCCCCCTCTCTCTCCCCTCGTGATCGTATCCCGAGGAACCCGGGACCTCCAGTCGGAGTCGCGATCCTCAACCGTCCTGATTGATCGCTCGATCATGAGAGTCCGTCATCGTGTCCTCGCCGACATCGCTCGTTACTTTCGTGATGTTGACGTGATCTCGTGAAGGAAGATACTTTGTGATACCGATGTGTCGTCGGAAGTGATTCTCAGGAATCCAAGATCGCTCTCTCTTCCCCTCTCCCTCTTTGGAGAATCCAGGACTTCCAGGCGAGTGACCGATGAACGGTCTCGATCTGTCCCGGTCCGTCGTGGATTACAGGATGACCGGTAAGTCCGAAAGAAGCCGCGGATTCGATCATTTCGAAGAACTTACGACGATGATGAAATTATCTGCTTGGCGCGGTCGAAGGCCAAGTTGTGCGATAAGAAACGATTTTCTTGGTATCTCTCGCATGTGAAACAACGACAACACGATATATTCCGAGTGATGCCGATTCGACTGACGTTGAACAGAAGACAATATTTTTTGAATCGGAAGAAACACTGATGATACACAAACTACACTTGTGTTCCGTTTTATATTTTACTCTGAGGTACGTTGCACACTTTGCTTCGCAAAATTTTTTTTTGCGACAAATTCGCAAAAATTGCTTTGATGGAACATCTTCAATCTTTAGTAACAAACTATCATAAACTCGCTCAACAAATTGTGACTAAAATGTTAGAAAAATATTATTTTACATAACATTATTGTACGGTAATCGGCTTCAAAAACCTGTCACTGTGTTAATGTCACATTCGAGAATATTTTTGTGTCAGAGCTCTCAATCTCGGTCCGGGATCGACGAAGCGAAGTGTCCTTTCTCGTGCTCTCTCTATTCGGCGCAAACAATGAGTCGAGGAAGCTCGCTGACCGCAACGAGTACGGAAGCCAGACTCCGGAGAGAGAGAGATTCGATCTTCTGTCCAATTTGGCGCGCGTCGGGCTTGGCAATTCCGTGACAAGCTGATAATCTTATCGACGTTTCACGATACTGCTCCTGCGGCCGCAGGATCCGACCGCGTCGTTTTTTTTCTAATTAACCTCAATCGCCAAGCCCGGGGTCCTCGTGGCGGATAAAAAGAGAGAGAAAGAGAGAGAAGAGAATCTGGTCAGCGAGATTGGCATTTAATCGCGCCATCCGCCAATGGAGCTTTCGGGAACCGACGTGTGCGACTCGCGCGTGCCGACAACCAGTCCGGCGCGCTCCTCCAGAGGATCCTCGTATCACCAGGATGTCCTGTGCGGTTAAAGGCAACGACGGTCTGCGCGAGCGCGAATGTAACCCGCGGTGGCAATCACTCCTTTACATCTCTGCACTCGCCAATTTGTTTAATTATCTTTTCCGGAAGCCCGTGTGTTTGCGTTCCTTGAATCTCGACACCAGTCGCTCCACACGTCCTGCCACGTTGAAGGCAACTCGGCGAGGAAGCGAAAAAAATCAGATATCGAATATCGCGCGAATATGTCGGACGATTTTTAATTTAAATCGCGAGAAGAGAAAATTTTATACATATATATATATTGAAGAGTGTACATGAAAAAAAAGTCGTCCTGTTTGTAAAATCTTTGCATCTTGAGAAAATCGTCTATATTTATATATTTTAAAAAAAACTCACTTGTGACGGTATTCAGGCGCGCGCGCACACTTGGCCTTGTCTACTTAACTACTGGATTAATCCATCACCGTCGTCCGCGATCGTTTGTTAAACCCTTCGATCGTGAAACGTCAACTGTCTGGATATTCGACGCACGCAGCGACATATAGGCGAATCGATATAGGCGAATTCGCTCGGAGTATATATGTATACACGGCACACGCGCATCAATCATCGATCACAATGGGTCCCGTGCGATGCAAAAGAGTCATTTGCTTTTATAATTCGCTAACTACTTCACTACCCTAATAACAAACACGTTATTACTATTTTCATAGTAAATACAGACGCGCGGCATACACACACACACACACACACACAATGGGCGGTACCGACAGCGAACAGTTTTCATTAGAGTCGCCTGATCTGCCAATTAACAAACGTGTTATAATTGATTATTCATTTTTAAGTGCGACGCGCGCAATACACATATTCGCGCGAAATGTGCGACATTTGAGGCGCATATTCTAGTCTCTCTATTTACACGGTGACAAAATTTACTCTTTCAATGCACGTCTCGAAGAGAAACGCGCTCGAACAAATTCAAATCGCGGATCAATTCCCGCTCGATTAATTCCCACGATTAATTCGTTTTTGGAGAGCGTGAGCTCGACACTTCGCTCTCTAATCGTGATCCGAAACGGCTCTCGAGCCGCTATCATCAGGGATAACGTCACGTATGGGCTCAACAAGTACGCTCGTACTTCTGTCAAGGGAGAAAATACTTTGCCGCGCCACTTGTGTCCCATAGGAGTCAAAGGCCCCCTGTTTCTCGAGGGTTTTCCAAATATTGTTGTTGTATCATATCGTGTTTCTCTCGCGCGTGGATCTAAATTGCCGTATAACCGAGGCGGGACCCTCGCGCGATTAGGATTCTTCTTTACGATCATCTCCTCGGAACATCCTCTCCGGCCGAGTCCGTGTTTGCTCTGTCGGAATCGAGAAAAGCCGAGTTTCGGAGCGGCGACATTCTGCGGAACACAGAATCCGCGCCGTCATAAAATCACGTCGCAATAGTTTCATCACCGAGAAACAATGTTTCAATTCTTTTCTGTTCGATCCTCTCTTTTCGAACTATAAAAATAATTTAAGATCTGTGAAAGTAAAACTTCTGTAATTGCGAAGCGCGCGTTTAGATGATTAAAAAAAAAAAAAAACAATTATCGTTCTTCCACGACCGAGATGAGAAACAAAGTAGTTAGTGTTTGTGAAAACGTTTCAGTTTGTATTATAGAGAATTTATATATCGACGACTTTTATTTCTTCTCGTTAAATATGACACACGCGCGAGTTATCGGTATCGACACTCATCGGTTCTGTCTCTTCGTGTCGAGTTGCCTACCTCGCAGGATCACCGTTTTCTTTTACGACTCGACGTAAAGTCGACACGGATCCTTAAGTCTTTGTTTACTCGCTCGATTAGAATGGAACAGAAGACGCCAACATCGTAAAATTGATATTTTTAACGTTTTATTGCGGGATGCGACATAAATCGTAGTCTTTCCTCGAACGTCGAAATAACAATCTTCCTCTTTTCCATTCATTGTTCTTATCTTTATTTATATATATAAACGGCCGGACGAAAATTCTATCCGACGTCGTCGTCGACAACAAACGCAATTAGTCGTGAGAAAATTTCGATCGTAAAGTTAACGCCTTCCTTTATCTTCTTCTTTTTCTCTTCAACGATTTGTCTTGTCTCCGATACCACCTGCCACAGGTTGCGTTTCTAAAACGATCATTTGTTCAGACGCCGATTTAAACACGAAACTCCGTCTCTCTCACTGTTGTTTGCAGAGGACCCACGGCAGGTTTCTCCTAAGGCTTGAGGATACGCGCCGCAGTGAAGCTCGTAGTTTGTTTTCAGATATTACACCGTGACGGATATACATCTTTTTCGATTCGGAGAAATAAGACCGCCATTAAAAAAGGACCCGCCGGTAAAAACGAGTTGTGCAAACACAACACAGATTCGTGCGATGTTACTTTGTCACTTCGCGCGTGATATAATTGTTGCAAGTGATAAAGATGTGAAGTATGTAAAAACTCGATGCTCTTTGAAAGAACGCACAAAAATCTTAAAATCAATTCAGTACATCCTGTAACATCCCTGGTATATAGTTTTTAATAGTATTTTGATAACAACGGAATGGTTGCGGCAATTGTTGCGGGGAAGAGGGTTGTTCGATAAAGACGCTCGCGAGACACACGATTCATTCGTATCGCACGTAGGATACCGATGCGTCGTGGAATGACATCACGACACATCGGGAACAAGCCGACACAAGGGGACAATAAAATTCTTATCGCGACAAACATCCTTCGGTGTCACTTTGTGCGTGCGGCAGCTGTGCCGAAGAAGAAGAAGAAGAAGAAACCGCCCGGCGTAGCGACACTCGCAATTGACACTTGTCCCTGTGTGCCTAGGATTCCGTCAGATCGTAAAGAGAGAGAGAGAGAGAGAAAATGGAAGAGAAAGCGTATCGCAAACAAAATTTATTTCGTTCTTCCGTGCAGAACCATTCATGATTTTCCGACCTTTATCGAGACGCAAAGTTTACACGAAGCCGCGACCTTTCCCTCAACAAAACTCTCGCACTTGCGTTTAATATCACGAACCGCGACTTTATTGCGGGAACAACGTGCCGCCGCTTTCTCAGAAATGACCAATCGATACGTCATACTCCGAAAAGTCGTCTCTCTCTTTCTCTCTTTCTTTCTCACGTCAAACTCCCGTGCAACTAACTTTTGAGTAAATTGAATTGTCGTAAATATAGCGCGGATTTATTTTATTTTATTTTATATTTTTTTTTATAGTAAAAACTGTAGAAGATCCGTAGAAACGGCCGTAGCTTTCTCGAGTTTCTTACTAACCGATACAACAATTATTTAATCGAACGAAATACATCATCGAGCTTACAACAAACGACGACGACAAAACGTGAGAGAAGTACTTGTGACGGATAAAGCTTGTGAAAATCCCGAACGTTTTTGTTCGTTTGTTGTTAGGAAGCAGCGACGAAGGCGAGTCGACGTCGGGGGCGACAGGCGGGGGTGGCGAGAACGCGGAAATGGAGGAAAACGGATCGACTCGCACGAGCAGCAATAGCAGCAGCAATAATCCCGTTTACCGGGATCTGAAGCCACTACAGACCGGCGGCGTGCACGAAGTCCCGCAGGATTACAATCTGAGGAGCGGCGGCTATCAGCAACGCGATTACTTACCGGGGATGAAACGACAGCGCGGTTACGACAAGGAGCATCAGCCGTCGCCGTCTTCCAGGGAGGAGGAGGGAAAATCGGCCTGGGACTACGAGAAGAAGGCGCGGACGGAGTACACGAGGTCGTCGCGGGATTACAACGAATACCGTGAGTGATTTTCAAACGATGGCTCACACGTGTCATTGGAGATTTTCTTTCAAATAGAAAAAACGTTAATTAAAACTACATGTAATATTGTTGAAACATTTTTTCCAATTTGTGACTTTTACCGTGCAACTTTCACGACGAATTTTCTGCTTTATTTAATTTCTATTTTTTACATTTGAAAAATGCTAATAAATTTTTGATAAATATACGTCCGTGTGCGTAGAGGATACGATAAAGCAGGAACCCAAGGATCACCCTAGTCGGGAATGGGTGTCACCAGTTCCGGAGGTCGAGGTCGGCGGATCGGCGCCCGGTGGACCGTACGTTCGCGCACGCAAAGACATCCCTCGTGGCGCGAGATTCGGCCCGTTCCTCGGCAAATGGGCGAGCGAGCCTTTCAACCCCCGTTACGCGTGGGAGGTGAGTCGTGCACATTTATCCGTGCGCGGTGTACATAGATGTGTGTATGTGTGTACGTGTTTATCGTTTCCGCACGCTTTCGAATTCTCAAGCGCAAGGCAGTCCAAGTAGCGATCGTAAAGCGAATAGGTCGGTGCTCGATCAGCTCAAACTGACCTTTTGAAGCGAGAGATGTTTGCCGGTGCACTCAATGTTGCGAAATAGTCTTCCGACGTTTTTACCGGGAGCGGAGTCTTTTCTCAACCAATCAACGTTGCGAGTATTTTTTTTTCTATATGTGTGTGTGTGTGTGTATGTTTATGTGTGTTTCATGGTTGATAGAAATAAGCTTTGTTTTATATAAAAGAATAATGAAAGAGAGAAAGGGAGAAACACAGGAGAACGCGCTTTCACATATAACAATAGAATATAAATTAAAAGTTTTATTAATTAGTAATTTCATTAATTTAAAACTTTTATATTTGTGTTAATTATTTAGATTAGTTGTCCTTAAATTGGATATTGTTATTAAAATACGAGTTCTGCTGTTTTTTTTTTTTTTGGAGATTCATCCTGTAGTGCGAGAAAAATAAAGCGTGTAATAATGATAATAATAAACAAAAATAAACCTGTTTTATAAAAAGATGATGAAAAAAAATAGACTCTTTCATACATGATTGATGTTTCTAAAAATTTAACTTTTGACGTCCGACGCGTGAATAGGATTCACATTCACAAATCGTTTTCATTCGTCCTCGCGAGTTTTGCCGTCAGTAGGATGCGTTTATGTATTTACACAAGAATCACGGAGATTCACACGCGAATCTTATCCGGTATCATCTCGAATCATCGGGGAATTGTCGTCGAACCGTTTGAAAATTGATCGATCTGTTTATGGTTCGGGTTCGAGACCTAGGAATGCCTCGTCGTCCGAGCCGCGGGTCGTCGGCGCGGGTCTCTCCGTCCTACTGCTATAATCCCGAGTATTATCCGGCAGATGCCGGTTACGGATCGAAAGGAGAGAAAGAGGAAGAGAAAGCGCAGATAGACAGAGAGTCGTATCTGCGACAGCCGCCACCTGGCCCTTTGGCCCGTTCGCCGAAGGTGTCATCCGCGTTGACAGATCTGTCAATTGGATCGTCTCGGACAACGTTTTCTTCTTTCTTTTCACCGAAACTGTTCGGATTCCGCAGAAAATCTGTCAGAAGTGCACACGCTGGGCCGCACATTCCTAAGTCGACCGTAAAATCAGCGCTTGGAGTCAGGATCGACCAGCCAATCCGTGAAATCGTCACAACAGATAATGCGCGCTTCCTGCTCGCGACTTACTCGGCGTTACTTCTGTCTCGCCAAACGTCTTTGTAAATCGCAAATAAAAGAAATATTATATATATATATATTTTTTTTTTTATCGCGCGCATATGCGGGAGAACAAGATTTTCAAATTTCGAAACGGTAGGAAACTGATCGGGTCTGTTGCCGGTCCAGAGGGTGTGATAGATATGATAGCGGCGGCGTTAGCGCATGTCGCACTGACAAAATGTAAATGGCGCCATCCATCTAACTGCCGACAAAAAGGCAGCCGGAGCCAACTGTCGGGCCGGCGATTACAGGATCGATTAAAGCCAAACTACCCCTTCGTTTCGTCGGGCCGATCTATCAACCCCCACGCGCGGCGAGAGGGAAAACATCGCGCGAGCGAGTCGGTCGCGATTTCTCACACGTTCTCCACGCTCGCGTTTATTTTGCAACGCCACGCGCGAAACCGGAGAAAATGATCTCTCGTCAAATTTTTCCCGGAGATACGGATGTAACGAGCGAGGATGTAAGATACTTGTTTGATTTACAGAATATACACTTTTCTCGCGAATCTTCGTAAAAAATATCAGAGAATCGAACGACGCGATCATGAGATCGCTCCGCGCGATCGAATTACCGCGACAATATTTCGGCAACGAAATCCTTGGGACAGTTAGCGAACCTCTTTCTCAGAATCCGACAAAGCAAAAAAAAAAAAAAAGTTCCCTTCCGATCGATTCGCACGTTATTCCCCGATCCTAATCCTTTTCTCATATCCTTCGGAAAACGAGCTGAAGCTCTCGTGGCGCGAGATCAACAGGGGGAGAAATCTCGAAACCGAAATTCACCCCAAATTTCACCCCAAAGTGTTTATCCGACATTTCGCGCAGAAGAGAGGAAAGTTTTTACGGGATTATCGAATTTGAACAGATATCTCCGGCTGACTCAATTTTCTGGTCAATTTGGAAACATCAATTCTCCTCCCCCCTGAGCGGCAAACGATTTAAGTGTCTCTTGATGTGTCCGCAAACGACAAAGTAGATTGAAATCGTATTTGCATGACTCGTAAAACAATTTATTGCTACTTGTTTGCGCTATTTGCGATTTTATTTTTAAATCGCGATGAATATTCTACTTCGACTTTTTTCAAAATTTTTACAAAAACATTCGTCGCGAGAAAATTCAATCTGTCGGCATTGAATTCGCATTCGCGAAAGGATCGCGGTTTGATACCTGCAGGTATCGCCATTACATCACCTGCCGCGAGATTTTCACTTCGTTTTCCGAATTCTCCCGAAAAAGGGTGAGATAAAATACAGAAGAAAAAACCTGCAGAAAAAAAGAGGCGAGACAAGAGGAGGGAGATCGCGGGGGGGATTCCCTCCTCTTTCCCGATCCTGTTCGGTGACGCGTGATCCGCAGGACGACCGACCTGCGGCGTGCATGCGTGGCGACTAAACCAATCTAAGGCTTAGGTTCACTCGGCCGAGAGACCCTCGCGTGTGTGAAGGCCTCGCTTCAATTTGCCGAATGATTTCGAGAACCCCCGAGTTAAATGATCAACCGAGTTGCGTTTATTGCGGGGCGGTTGGCGTTTCGACAGACACGGTTGGTGAAAAATGATTCCGCGTTCGAACGCATATAATCCACCCACCTTTTACCAAATCACAAATACGATATATTTTTATATCACGTGATTCTCACACGTTTGCTAGTTTTCAATTTATTTGTCATAATTGGATACACATTACGACAATGTTACTTATTAATTAGATAAAATTTTATTTGTTATAATTTTATTATTATTATTAAGTGTGTGTGTGTGTGTATTTTAATGAATCGATAATAAATTATTATTCCGAACCAATCTATAAACTTCAGACATTAATAAAAAAAAATACGAGAAACGAACTAGTCCGCTGATTATTCGAAATAAATGTCTTGACAGTTTCAAGCTGTGATTATTAAAAGTTTCCTTCCCCGAAATGTGCGTTGCGCCAAAAGTCATTCATGTGAGACGTCGCGATTACGCCCACGAGATTCGTTTTTCTATTTTTTTTTTTTTTTTTTGCGCGCGCTCCCCCTTTTGCAGTATTTTTCTTCCCACTTTTCCTCCTCGTCTGCATATTGAAACCGGCGGCGTTTTTTTTTCCACGTGGTTGCCGGCAACCCCACTCGAGATCTCTTGACTCGGATTGGAGACCGTTCGCCTTTCGAAGCGACCACGTGGGAGAAAAGGAGGACCGAAGTAGCGCGCTTGTTTTTCATGCTGAAACAGCCGCACGCGCCTCGTCGCCCGTTCGGGACATTTTTTCGACAAATCGGACGGAAAACTTGGCTGTTAGTCCCGCGTGCGACTGACAAATTATATTAATGGCGAGACGTGCGTCGTCAACCGCACAACTTCCAAAGTAACGTGACGTTGTCATATCGACATGAATCGTATTTATTGCGATCAATACGTGCAACACGTGTTAGAATATATGTACGCGTGTATGTGTGTTTTTACACACTTTAGCATAAAAATTGAAGAAAATTCTTATGCAGAAGTTCAATTGTTAATAAAAAAAATTTTTTTAATGATAACTTGATGTGTTCGATTGTTGATGTTTGCACCGACATTTCTTCTTCCGAAGAGCGTTTTGTGTTTTGTTTATGGGAAACCATCGATTCACGGTGTATTGACGGTTTTGTGGGTCCCGTTCGTAAGATTTTCCTCGAGAATCGCAAGGGATCGCGTTGCCGACCTTATTAAATTGTTGGTCCATCCCGACAGCGGGCATTTTAGACAATCCGCGCGTCCGCCGCGTTGGGTCTACAATAGAGCACATCGGTACCCATTATCCGCCGACATTGTCCACATGCGAACTGGTCTTTAGGGCGTTACTGGAGGTCAAGCCCCGGAAGTGATTCGACAATGAGGTACATTATGCCCTTCCACTACTTCCCCTCCCCGTTCCTTCTCCCTCGGCTCCTTCTTATCCGTCTCGACCCGCGTTCTTATTAACTCCCTTGGTTGCGCCGTAAGTGCAACGTGATCATTTCTCCTCCTCGCATCCAGAGCGAGGAGGAGGGGGACTCGACGAGCTATTTTCAAATCGATATCCGAACGGTCAAGCGACGGGATTCGCGTTCTCAAGGCGTAGGGTTACGGTCGTCCGCCTTTGCGATTTCCCGTATTTGAATTTGAAATAGGAGAAAGAGGCGTCGAAACTTGCGCGCGCAAAGAGGACGACGACGGCGATTCGTGGCACCGAAAATCGAAGAGAGAGAGAGAGAGAGATGGGAGAGAAATGGTAGAGAAACAAGTGACAATCAGTGACGCGGGATCTCCGGTATTGTCCGAGCTGTCACGCGTCTGACGCGCCAGGATATCAAAGAATCCCCCGACGGGGGATCCGCGGTCATCTACACGTACATGCGCACGTACTGGTCAAGAAGAAACCGCGCAAACAACCACGTAAGAGGCGCATGCGGCGCCCCGTCATGGTTTATTGAGATTTGGCATCATTTTTTTTTAAGATTCACGGCGCGACATCGAAATATATTCGTTTACGAATAATTTTTGACACATCTCAAAATTCTGATAACTGCGGATCAAAGAAACAAGAGATTCTGTTAAAAAAATTATACATTTCACATCTCGAGAGCGTTGCGGCACTCCGCGACGAAGTGAAAAAAAAAAAAAAAAAAAAAACAAAGCTCACCTTTATGAAGTCATT